AGTTCGAGTGTCAACCCCAATGTAGCAGCAGTGGAAAAACAACAGACAGCACGAGAAATCTTCAGAGAGATGAAGACAACGACAATAGGATATGCCAAGAATTTTGCTGCAATCGGATGTGTTTTTTCTGCAGTCGAGTGCTGCATTGAATCTGTGAGTCCCTCATTTATTGTTTTTATTATCTTAATGAATTTGAAACAGGATTTCTTCAAATTCACACAATTAATTCATCTGTAAAGGTTTATTAATCAGTTCGTTGTACATATATTTATAAATGAATAATTAAATGTTACAGTACCGTGGGAAAACCGACTGGAAGAATGGTACATACGCCGGTGGCTTGACTGGAGGTCTCATAGGTCTCAGAGGTAATCAAATGAGAGTGAAAATATAATTTTTTAATTTAAATCAATGACTACGTGAATTATTCCAGCTGGTGTAAAAGCTGGTATTATCGGTGCTGCTGGCTTTGCAGCATTCTCCACAGCCATCGATTATTACATGCACAAATGAGCCACATAATGTACATAATGAATACATAATTCTTTAAATGAAATAAATGCTTACATAAGTACTGAGATAATAAACCTTAAACTTCAATGACAAATACTTCATTCGTTTCTCCTGCACGTCGACACCACAGATCGTACTTCCAATTAATCCTCTACTTTACGAAAAGTACAAAAATGTAAAAAATTTTGATTAAAATACCTCGAGACGTAAATTACCGAGTTAATTAGATGTGGAAGAATACGGTGGAATATGCAATTTCTTTGTTCCTTATCACAGTAAAAAGGAAGATTTTTCTGTTTGATTTTTATAAGAAAATAATTATTGAGTTGTGTAAAAATAATTAAGTAATCCAGTAGGAAAAGTCGAGATTTCTCGTAGAAATGGAGAATGCTAGAAAAAGTTCTGCTGACGTATAAAAAATTGCACAAAATATCAGACACTTTTTTCGTTGCCAGGCCTCAGCAGTGCAGATTCATAAATCATAATATGTACAAATATGATAATTCAGTGATGAGATGGAAATTTGCAAATAAAATGAGGACTGCAAGGCACTTTTCAGGTTCTACTATGGGTACAGTGGTCTCGCAGCTATCATCACTCATTCGACAATGGAAAACATCGTGTTACCAAAAATATATCGAGTTTTATTTTGATGAATTGATATGGAATTGTGTAACGGTGGCGATTTTTTCATGAATTATGCATGACGAGTCTTGTCTTGTACCGTTACCCCCTTGCACTCGATTGCGTGATTATCTTTTTTGGCACCTGACAAGAAAAAACATTTCAGTCCTCACCGGGCTATTTCCAAGGATTACAACTGCTGGTGTTGGATCTGCGCCTGAACTGCTGCTAGCATCTCCTGCATACGACGAATTTCTGCATCTTTTTCCTGCAATTTCCGGTCTATTTCCGAACCAACTGGTTTCTCTGGCTCGATTACCCTGAGATGGGAGGTAATTATTAGAACTTTACGAATAACTTCTAAAACTTCTAAAACTTAGTAGTTGAGTACTTACGTTTGTCGTCTTGGAGGGGCTGGGGCACCTTTAGCCAACCTCTCACTCCGATAATTCTCGTAATGTACCTCCTGAGTTACTTCTTGCAAATCCTGCATATGAGCACTGGAAAATTAACAAGACAATCATTAAAATCCAATTCTGGAAATATCTAAGAATCTACTCGAGATAGCGAACTTTTCATGAGATCTTTCATTTTAGCCCTTCTTTCGCTCTACAAAAAATGTCCTGATATGAATTCGGCTATCTCCCTTAGATTCCGATATTTCTAGGGAATGATGACAGGAAATAATGATAATCAATGAAAACTCACATGAGCATTGTTCTGAGTTTGATAAAATCACAGTGATCGGGATTCTCCACCTCGACAACACCCCAGGGATACAATCTACCCCGTACCTTCCTGCCCTTGACTTCCAACAGAGTATTAGCCCCACAGACAGCAAATGGCATGGCCTCCTTTAATTGTCTCACTTGCTCCTTGTAATCTTCGTCCTCATCGCTGTCACAGTCAGGCAGTGAATAAATTTTAATTCCATGCTCCTCAATTTCCTCCATTACCCTCTTCTTGAGACGCAATACTTCTTTCTTGGTGAGAACATCTGCTTTTGCAATAACTGGAACGATGTTGACTTTATTGTG